ACCCACCATGACAAAACATCAGCACTAATGACATTTCCTTCTATTGACACACCGTAAATAGTTTTGAATATCAGAGTAAAAACAGTTACCATAAATGCACACATTCATGCAGTAGTTCTTTTGAAATTCAGTTTGTGCAACAATTCTAAAGCCAACAACTGGGACATTAGGTAACTCACAGTTTATTTACAGGAGATATTTTTTTTTTTCAAACTGGTCAAATTAATTAAATCTTGATGAAGACTAAAGCAATGCCCAATTAAAGGATTTAGCACAACTCATTAGTACAAAAAGTCTTCACTTTTTTTATTCTTCCAGTGTTAAACTATTGAACCACATTTTGTCAGATTTACTCACAATATTTCCTTGACAGCCTGATACCAAGTTTTGAAAGCTTCACAGCGTAATGTTTCTGCCAAAATTATGACTGGTTGAAAAAATTTGGAATTTCAATGGAAACCTGTATTATGGCATTGGCTTCAAGTGGCAGATTAGATACAAAATACATTAGCACTAATGGAAATTGAGCCATAACTGATTCCTATTAATTTGATAACAAACAGTAATAATGATCATGAACTCTTTTGTTAGCAATGTGAATAACCAATACTATTCCACCACAATTCCATTTGCCCATTCCTATCATTTCCAGTGTGGATCTCCCCTGTTCCATACAGAGGGCGAGGTCAATGTGAACCACACCCACACTATTCCCCAGACCTTTTCTGTAGACCTCACTCCACATGCATCACTCTTCCATCCCGAGATGACAGTGGAAAAACTGGCAGAATGTTAATGCAACCCAAGACTGCAGTTATTGTTCTATGACCCCCAACCCACCTCCAGCTGTGGGGGGGGGGGAAGCCTTAAAAAGGAGTCCTAGAAGCACCACTATGGGACCATCTTGGCAATGAAGCTGCATTCTCAGAGAGCCTGACTTGAAAGTGCAGGACCTCAGCGATAATGATCCTATTTTCCTGAAGATCTCCTGGGATTCAGGTGGTCTGGGAGCAGGACCACTGCCATTCCATTGGAGAACTAAGGCCAGGGGGGATCAAACCCATCGTCGAGGTGAAACAATTTGGGGAAAACTCTGAAAGGGAACACTCAGTTTCAGAGCAACTGAACCTGTCTTCCCCCTCTGTAGTTAACCAAGGGCACCCACTTAAGGCTTCCAGCTCCACAGCCATCACCTTCCTTGGGTCGAGACACACATCTCCCTCCCTCCCTCCTAATTAGGGATCTTAAGGCTGCCCAGCTCCCTGCCTCACATTGTGATATCCCCAACAAGCCAGACACCCTAAAAGGCCAGCACCTGCAATTAGCTCTCTCTTTGAGGGCTCTGACCAGTGTATTGTCTGCAGATGTAAGTCACCACACATCTCCTTCGAAGCAAGCACATTTATTCTTAAGGTAAAAAGCATTACAGAGAAGCATATTAAAAGAATAAAAGAACCTACACGGATGCTAAAAAGCTTACCAGAGGTCACCCCCAGCTCCAATCTAGGGCTCTGGTAGGTTTTAGTCCTTCAAAACTCACAATTGGGTTTTCCCCATGATTACACATTCATACATCTTAGATCTAGGACCAGAACGAAGTCTGGGCAGATCAGTCATTTATACAGCTTGAGTTTTGATATTGGCCTTCTGTAATAGGTAGATAATCAGCAGACAATGGCCCTCTCCTCAGGGCGTAGATTCAAACAGCTAGGTTTTTGCATAACGGGAGATGTGGAATTTGCATTAGCTACTCTCTAGGGATTCCCCAGGGAATCCACTGAACTCTTATTGTCCCCACAAGTCCATATTTATCTGGCACAATTCAAGGTCTTTTGAATGCCCTTAAAGTTCCCAGATTTCACATCTGTCATCTCTCTCCCCAAGGGAAGTTACATACAGTCTTGGCCCACCTTAATACATAAACTTAATAAAATAGGGTCTTCCAAAGATATTGAAAGAAATTGCCATATCAGTCATGGAAACATCAAAAAGTTTTCCTCTCTTCAGAGCCTCCTCATACAGATATTCTGTGGACCCATGTGTAGTGGTTTAAATTTACACAGAGTCCAGCTGAATATAATATTTGCTTGAAAGAAAATTTATGGCATTTACATAAATATCATTTTCATGTTTGACAGGATACATGATTACTTGGAAATCAATAATTATTTTAAACTCAGTTTTTTAGCTGACTCCTGGTACGCATTACAAAGTAATTTTATAGGAGTCAATTGCACATGTTATTTAAGCCTGAAACTTTGGTGTTAGTGCACCCTTAAACCACTTTTATTTATCTATCTACATATCTGCAAACAGATCTACAGCCAATGGTAACAACTGTCATTTTGATTCACTGTATTTCATTTCCACAAGTATCCCCCTGAAAACTGCATTTATAGGACTGATATCATAGGACCTGATTCTCCATTGCCCCACACCTTGTGTGGTCATTTACTCCTCTGCAAAGCAAACTTTGGAGAGGAAGGATGATCAAATGGTTAGCAGCCAGGACTTGGGAGACCTGGGTTTAAGTCCCTACTTAGCCACAGGCTTCCTATGTGACTTTGGGCAAGCCACTAAGACCCAAACCCACAAAGGGACTTGGGTGTTGCACTTTTAGGCACCTAGAAAATCACTGGAACAACAAGGGGATCAACAAACCCTGAGCTAGTTGCCTAACTCCCTATACAATGAATGGGGAGAAACAGTTGCTTTAGAACTCAATCCACAAAAGCCAGCAGGCTAGGCAGCAAGCTGCCTAAACTAGCCAATGGGAGATGCCCAGGAGAGGGGTGTGTTCTAAGCACAGCCCCTCTCACTCTCACAGAGTTCAGTGTCTACCTCCAGGCTGCAGGGAGGCAATCTTTCTGCTTCCGAGCCTCAGCTGGGAACCACTCTGCTGGAGTCAAGAAGCTTGATGCCTAAGGTGTTTCTTGTGAGTAAGAGTTAGGCGGCTGCCTTGCTCCACACAAAATGGCAAGTGGTAGTGATGGTGGTAGTGGAGGAGGAACAGTTAGCCCTGTGGTTAGGATACTCAGCTGCGATGTGGGATCCTATCCTCAGCCCATCTTCTCCCACTTCATAGATCACTTTGGGGCTTAGGTGGATATAGGTCTCCAAGTGCCCAGAGTGAGGCAGCAATGAGCATGCCTCGAGGCAGAAACATAGGTGCCTAGGGAACCTTTTCAGACAGAACTTATGTGCCATGTTAGTTTAGGCATCTAAAGGTTTAGGTGGCAGCTACGCAGGAGTTTTGTGGATCACGTCTGAAAGTGGGACTTAGGTGCCTAAGTCCCTTTGTGGATCCAGGTCTAAGTCTCTCTGTGTCTCAATTACCCATCTGTAAAATGGGGATAACAGCACTTCCCTACCTCACAGAGGTGTTGTGAAGATAAATGCATTAAAGACTGTGAGGTGCTCAGATATTATGGTAATAGGGTCCATACAGGTATCTAAGATGGATAGAATTTTACACCTGTTTTGCCCTGGTGTATATTGCTGTGGAGAATCAAACCTATAGCGCTAGCTAACAAAATACAAATGATTTTAGAAGCTTCATTTCATATCCTTAGAGGGAAAAAACATTTCCTGCTATTCACAAGAATCAAGGCCATCTATAATGCCGCCCAAGAAAACAAACATACTTTTTTTCTAAAATCAGCTTTTTATTTGAAATATCTAATGAAATCCAGTATATAGTGTGTCAGTTGCAACTGGCAAATATTTATTCAAAAACGGTGCTATTTTTTTCAAGAAAAAAATAATTTGGTATTTCTTTTCAAAATTGCACCCATTTCATTAATCAAAAATCCCTCCAAAACCTCATGTTATGCATTTCTCAAATTCCTTGTATCTTGCACAGCCCTACCACCAACTAACCTGTTAACAGTTGTCAATTACAGAATTGACATCCGAAGAAGTGGGTTGTAGCCCACGAAAGCTTATGCTCTAATAAATTTGTTAGTCTCTAAGGTGCCACAAGTACTCCTGTTCTTTTTGCGGATACAGACTAACACGGCTGCTACTCTGAAACCTGTAATTACAGAATGATCCATAGCATAACATGAGGATTCAGAAACAGAAAGAGCCCAGAATAGGGAGCCAGTTGAGAAAGCTCTCCATAGACAGGGGAAGAGACCAGACTTAGGGTTAGGAGCTCAGGGCATCTGCAGTGGATGCCAACTTCTGGGGGTGGCAATTTGATATCATTAGGTGAGAAAAATGGGGGAAGGAGATTGGTGGTTTTTTTCGCAGCCATTTGGGGAAAACATTTTCCACTCTGGGTGACAGCACACCTAGGACTGGCCCTGAAGGCCAATATTGTTAGCTTCTTTCTTTTAATAGCCATTGGTCCTGATCCTGCTGGTCCTTCCTGACCTGAGTAGTTCCAATGACTTTCAGCAGACTACCTACGAATAACTTACACAAGTGTTTTCTGGATTGGCGCCATTGTTCGAAACTGCCTGTCAGAAACTCAAAAGTACAAGGACCCCCTCCCTTCCAGTAATTTTTCTCAGATCATTTCATTGTGGGGGCGGAGTTTGAGGCCCACCCAGAACAAACCTCACAGCTCACTCTCTATCTCTTTGTCCCAAGACATTCACCCAAAGTCCTTGAAAGCTCCTCAACTTGTCCAGTGATTGGGGATCTATGCTCTTCTTTATAAAAAGTGTATATCAACAAAGCCATTCAACAAGACATTTATAACAACTTGGGGACTGTTACTGATAGGCTTTCCCTGCCTTGACTTCACTCTGGGTGAAATCCACCCAAGTGCAGAGGACCAAAAGAAAACCTATGACCACCTAAGTCACACTCTACATCTTTTGACATGTATATCAATTTTATATTGCCATAATTCTATTGATTTCAATGAATTTACTCCTGATTTGCTCCAGTGTAAATGGGAGCAGAATGTAAACATTCTTTACAGTTAACAGTAGGTCTCCTCAGCCTTTCTGTGCTATGCAAGCAAAAGATTAGTTCACTCAGGAACTCACCATGTCTGTGTCTGAAACAGGTCCAAAGCTGGTTACGTAGATATTAGTGAAGACTTTCGTTATACTGTCTGATAAGGGAAGAGAAAAACAAACACATTTTTAGCACATACATTTTCTGTATTCTGCACACAGAGTGATGTGAAACATTCTGAACCAGATTCTGCTCTTAGTCATACTGTTGCAAATATGGAGTAACTCCACTGACCTCATTAGAATTACTCTGCTGTTACACTGGTGTTACTAGAAGCTCCCCCCCGAGTGCTTCACTTACAGCAAATACAAACATCTTTCCCATTTTCACAGCCAGCAAAAATAATTACATTGCCTGGTATTTAATAAGGTGCCACAATTCTAAACATAAAACACCTTTGTTGCAGAGCTATTATTCCTAGTGTTGTAGATCACTGCTGTTAAAAGCTTTCTAATTCAAGGCTATTTTTTTCAGACTGAACAGCTTTTTTCAAAGCCAAAGAAACTGTTTACAATACAACTACTAATGGTGCTAAAAATAAGTGTGCAACAGCAGCCTATATTTTAATTGTTTAAGTGACAAATGTTTAAGCAAAATAGTCCCTTCCCTGTGTTCACTCTGCTGCTTAACTGTTGTTATAGCTGTAGAAAGAATGTCCTCCTAATGATTATAGCTGGACAGCCATGATACCAGCATATTAATTATTGTGCTGTAGGGAGAAATAATTGCTCAGTTTTCTAGCTTCAGTTTTCAATGAGGCTCAAAACTAACTAATATGCGCTAATAGGGATGGGCCACACCAGCAGAAAATTTCCCACAGCTGTTTCCAACTACCATGTAGGTATCAGGCACCTAGAATGTTAAAAAATTGTTGTAAAGCAGAATATTCAAGTGAAAAGGGGGGGGGGGAAGGGTACTTACATAAAGCTAAGTGCAATTTGACAATGAAAGCACCACGCCTTTTCCTAAAAAGAACATTGCACCTCGTAACTGCTCTTTGCTGTATCTTGACCTCCATATTTGATCAAAACAAAGGAACAGGCATTTAGTACTGTCTATTCCTCGTTAAAAGCTGTTCTAAAAAACAATATTTTGATCAAGATGTTGTATGATAAGATTTAATTTTTCATTCCATTGATTAACACAATAATGTAGGCTTTGCATTAGAAGCCCAGAATGGAGACCTGCATTGATTAGTTTCTTATAATCAATGTTTTCCTGACAAAGAGCAGTGCAATTGAACATAATAGTGTGCATGTGCGCCACTGCCCTCTACTGAATAAAATCAAAAGTGCTCAATTGTTTATATAGGCTCTATATAGCTAACAGTCCCTTTTATTTTTATTAACAGCTAAGGGCCATTATATACTCCTGTGCTTTGGGAATGGTGTAGAGATGCATCCCCACTCAAGAGGGAACACCAGGAGGAACTGTGCTGGTACAATCCCTTCTGGAGCTTCCTGGAGCATAGAGGAAATGCATCCCTGCGTTGTCGCTTATGATGAAACATGCACTCCCCTTCACAGCCAACCAGCTGTGCCCAGTGGGTCCTAAAAGAAGCTGTCGAAGGAGATCACGGAGCTTGTAATTATGCCTTGCTGCTACACAGTGGGATGTGAAGTGCAAGAAAAGTGGGAAAAGGCTTTTTGCGCCTTACTGCCTGCACACCTTAAAGGGGCCATTCAATCTAGTGGTGAGGGCCTGTGATTTTGGAGTAGGGCAACCTAAATTCTGTCCCCACAGCTACCATGAAGTTCCAAGTGGCCATATTCAGTAGCAAAAGTTCCTAGGTAGTTACACATTTGTTACAGTATAGTATTCAATATATTATTTGCTCCTCACAATACTTTTACTTTGGGATTACTTATAATTTATCTGCCTTTTTAGAAAACAAAAAGAAAAACGAGGAAAAGAAAAAGAGATCCTTCCTCAATGTGTCCAAACCAAGATTATATATTTATATTATGTATTAACACTTAGGCACTCAGTTGTACATCAGGCCTCCACTGTGCTAGGTGCTGTACAAACACATAGCAAGGAGACTGTCCCTGCCCCAAAGAGGACAAGGGACAACACAAGATGTTGGGGTGCATGCATGTTCTCAGTATTTGGCTAGGAATAAGCATAGGTTTTGCTGAAATAACATGTGGAAACCACAAGTATGGTTCAAAAATACAGAGACTGAATACTGTCTGTCAGAAAAATCTGAAAACGAGGATAATTATCTCCAAATGGGCACCTGTTACAGGCTGAGAGGAAATTAAAAGTGACAAGACAGAATCTCTCTCTCTCCAGGGCACCAAACAGTGCTATAGAGATTAACTGTGAAAGTTGGCTTGCACTATTCCAAAAACTAACAACCCTAATTATTATTCTATGCAAAAAAGGTGTTAATGCATTACTGACAATCAAGCTTTCAAAAGGCAGGAAGCCAGATCTAATCTCAGTTACCCTGGTGTAATTTGGAGTAATACCACTGCAGGCAAAGGAGTCACTTGGGAGTTACTCCAATATAACAGATTTGAATCTGATCCAAAAAAAGTAGAGCTATGATAGGGACCTCAACATTGTCCTGTTATATCTTACAATAGATCTTTATATTGTTATACATTATTTGTCAAATAATACAATATATAATACAAACTGCAATTTCATTACCAGTTTTGCATACAGTAAACTATAATGCACACAGTCTTCGAACTTGGCTTCAGTTTTACGTCTCAATGCAAGCAATTCAGTCCCAAATTCTAAGAATATAAACATACTAGTAGGGTTAAACTCCTGGTCCCCCTATTGAAAAATAGAAAGTGAACGCACAGTGTTGAGGGAGATCAAAGAGGCAACACTGAATGGCTGAAAAGCTGTCGTAACTATCTGGAGATTCCTCTAGCTGTCCCTAAGTTACCTCCTTTAGAGTCCCCAACCTAAGAGCAGGCCAAGGATGTGGCTGGAAGAAAGAGACAAGCACTACAGTGATTCTCAGCTGCTAGAACTTTATGTCAGCCAGATGCAATTCAGAGCAGCACTTAGGCTGATCTAAACTGTACCAGGGCCAAGTTTGAAAATGTTGACCTGTGTGTGCGTAACAGGACAAAGGTCAAAGAGGGGGTCTGTGTCAGCATTGGGATTAGGCCCTTGCTTAGTCAACTTGACCATACCACCTCATGTTCCTGAGCTGGCCCTCCTTGTGGCCTCAAGTCATGCAGTCTGGCTGGTAAGCAGAAGAGCTGACTCAGCTGAAAGTAGTTGGCAGGAAATCTGCAGTGGGCTTAGTGCCATCAACAACAGCCAGAACAGGACTGCCCCCTTCAGCTATGACACTGATCTGGTATCTTCCCCCCCAAAATGAAAGAACCTATGCCATGGTTTTACACTCACCCCAAAGCCAAGCTTGGACTGGCTGTGTTGGGAGGATCTATGAATAATCTGTGGCCTTTAGAAAAATATATTGTTTTAATAAAGCTAAATACCCACATTTTTCTCAACAGGACAGGGCATCTAAAATATGCAAACACACAATTCTAATGCACAGCATGCAACAATTTCTCTATCGTATAAAGATTATTTTGTATGTGCAATAAATAGTACCCTGGAGAATGCTGCAATGTTGTAATTTGATTGAAGAGCTGTTATGGCATAAAAAAAGTGAAAATGAAGCACTGTTTATTAATTATGTCAACATAAAATGAAAAAGAGGGTCAAGTTTAAAGTGCTGTGGGAGCCTTAAGACAGGATTTCCAAGCTTGGGTGGAAAAGCTGTCAAAACCCTGATGTTATTTTAATTATTTTTTATTAAAATGTATTATTTAACTAGAATTGACATTGCTCTGACATTGTAATATGGTCTCCACAGATACGCTTGGCAATTTTGCCCAAAGACACTGAAACTGTGATTCATAATACAATCCAGGAGCTGCACAAGTAAAACAGCCAGAGCCTTAATCCATCAGTATTCCAACTCAACATTCTCTCCTTAGCTGACAAGCTTGTTAGTATAGCTGAAAGTGCCAGCAGAAGACACTTTAGGGCTGGGGGTTGGATAATTGGGAGCTCCAGGAGTGGAGAAAGGAAAGGGAATGTAAATATTTCAGTGTATATTTTGCTTCAGTGATTTAAGGACAGCTGTACCTGTCCAATTATTGAGCTTTTTCTACTGTTACCCACTGTCATCAGTTATAATAAAACACTTTTGAACCACTTATGGGTACTTAAGTAAGGATGTACATAGGGATTTCAGCTTGTAAACTGAAGCTGTGTTTTAGGAGAAGAAGAAACAGATTCATTTTCCCCACTCCTAACTGCAATACCTCATCTGCCATCTCCTCAGCCTTCCCTTGATTTGTTTTCAAGAAGATTTCTTAATGGGATCTATATGTGAAAGTATCCGTACATATTCTGTCTACTTGACTAGACTCTATTTAACCACTCCTGTCCTCCCCATCATAGCAGTTCTTAACAAAAAGCTATGTAAATGGTATTGCTAGTTCCAAAAAGGTAGCCACAGAACAAAGCTACTTGGCAACAAAAATGATTAGGGGGCTGGAGCACACGACTTATGAGGAGAGGCTGAGGGAACTGGGATTGTTTACTCTGCAGAAGAGAAGAATGAGGGGGGATTTGATAGCTGCTTTCAACTACCTGAAAGGGGTTCCAAAGAGGATGGAGCTCGGCTATTCTCAGTGGTGGCAGATGACAGAACAAGGAATAATAGTCTCAAGTTGCAGTGCGGGAGGTTTAGATTGGATATTAGGAAAAACTTTTTCACTAGGAGGGTGGTGAAGCACTGGAATGGGTTACCTAGGGAGGTGGTGGAATCTCCTTCCTTAGAGGTTTTTAAGTCAGGCTTGACAAAGCCCTGGCTGGGATGATTTAGTTGGGGATTGGTCCTGCTTTGAGTAGGGGGTTGGACTAGATGACCTCCTGAGGTCCCTTCCAACACGGATATTCTATGATGGCCATATTACAGCTTCAAAACTGATGCCATGATAAAGCAACTATCATGCCTGTTTCTAATCTCACACCAGAGTAAATCAGGAGATACTCTTATTGAAGTCAATGAAGTTACACTGGTATAAACCTGGCAAAAAAGTGTGAGGT